GGCCCATCGGCTTCGATACCTCTCCCTCGAAAGTTCGTCGATACGATGGGCCCTCCCAGAGGGTTGCGGGAACACAGCTCCCCCAGTCGTGGCTGGTCGGCGAGGACGACGACATCCCGAACGCGATGTCGGTGATCCTCCGAGCCTATGCCAAGAAGCTGTCCATCGTTGCCGGCGAGGTTGCCGGAGCAACCATGCGCATCGACGTTGCCGACGCTGTGGTGGAGTACTTGGAGCTCGTGTGCGCGAAGAATATCACGAAGCTGTGCTTCGAGGGGGGAGGGGAGGACGAGGATCGAGCTTGCTGGACGCTCTTGGCCCTTTTCGGGGCTCTGGAGGCCTCCCAGGGCCTCGAGGGCCTCAGAGACTTCCGGGGAGCCTCAGAGATTCCCTCGAATCTGGTGGAATATTCCAAGATAATTAGATCATAGTCAGGGGAAGATTTGTTTGTCAATGTTTGATCTTTTGTTGGGATACCTTTCGGGTGTGTTTCATTTTTCGTCCAAAATCCGCCTATAGGGGACACGCCCGACCTAAAGCCACCCCGAGACAGCTGGGGGGGGAGGTATTGGGTCAGCGATGCAATCAGCAACCAGAGCCTGCCCTTGGACTTCACCTCCGCCGTCATGGCCTCGCTGTGCCTGGCAGAGGATCAGAGCCCCGAGTCATCGGGGGTAACTCGGTTCAGGGCTAACTCGGGTTCGTTGTTCGGAAGTCCGAACCCGACCGAGTTACCCCGGGCCCAAGGAACCCTGGATAATTCGGGCGTCCAGAACCCAAAATCATCAGGGGTAACTCGGGTCAGGGCTAACTCGGGTTCGTGTTTCGGGGATCCAAACCCGAGATACCCCAGGCCCGAGTTATTCCGGATCACTCGGGCGCCCAAGAGGACGATCCGAACTTGTTGACTGACATGGACGTGGGCAGCACTGTCATCGACGCGATGTACCAGCTGAATTCTCCGTACTTGTACGTCGCCCTTGACAACATGGCGGACACAGACTTCTGGGTCTCGAACGGCTACAGCATCTACGACCTCGCGAGGTGCACGACGACAGTCACGGAGTGGGTGCTGAACGCATCGCTTGCGTACGACAGCACGGACCAGAACGATGAGGAGTCGTACGACAACGAGAGCTCTAACGAGAGTTCACCTGCTCGTGGGCTTGGTCTGGCGCAGATGGGACGCGCTCAGCGGAGAGCGCTGACGCGTGCTGGCGTAAAACAGCAGGCGGAGCTGCGGGTGCAGGGATATCACGCCAGGAAGCGAGAGGAGCGCTCCGCCAAGCGGGAGGCCATGTTTAGCTCCAAGACCTCCCAGCGCTTGCTCGGCCGCCTCCTCGGAGGGGTCGCCGCTAGTGACTCCACCAACCCCAACGCCGACTCCCTGATCAATGGCGGACAGCCCGCATATCCCGAGACATTGCTCTTCGCCGCATGGCTCAGTTCCAACGCCTCCGCCTCAGCGGACAGATTCCAGTCGATGTGCTTCGAGTACTCGCAGACCTCCAGCAGTACATTGGACTCCTTCGCCACCGAGATCCAAGGCCTCATCAAGGAGGTAGTGAGCATGATCACGATACTGGAGACGTGGGCGAGTGACTCAGGCATCGCACGCATCGAGGAGATGGTCGACGATTTCGCCACGACCGCCATGGAGGATGTGAAATCCCTTGTGCTGAGCACAATCTCGGACCTGATCGACACCTACCTCCCAGATCTGGCCGAGGGCGTGGTTGAAGCCGTGGACAGCGCCTCCGAGTCGATCGGCACTGACGTCGCGGACTTCTTGGGGGGATACCTGGAGTCGGGCCTGATCGAGCCCGTTGCCGAGATTGCCGGCGACCTGCTGGGGAACGACACGTGGGGCGAGGAGGTCGCCGAAACAGTCGTTGAGTCGCTGGGGGATACCCTAGAGGACGCGCTGGGCTCCTACATCGGCGACCAGCTGAAGGATGTGCTGGAGGAGCTGGTGGTGGACGCCGTGTCGGAGTACTCCAGCAGCTCCGAGAGCGTGACGGGCAAGAGGAAGCCCCTGAAGCTGCTCCAGGCTTATGGTGATCGTTTTTTATTCATTCTTTTGCCAGTCGGGGAGGGCCCCCCCCCTCCCCATGGAGTAGATCTTGGCTGTTTTTTAGCGCCTGTTTCGAGCGGGTGGATTCTCCCCCAGAGGCCGCACTCTTGCAAACAGTCGCACTGAGCAGAGGTGCGGAGCCAGACCCCCCCCTCCCCCACCCCTTGCCGCCCAGTGTTGAAACGCCGAATAAACAAAACGCTCACGTTTTATTCCCATCGTACTTGAGGACCACATCCCAGAAATATTTTTGAGCACCCAGTAAAGTATCGAAGCAGTGTCTGCCCGACACACCAGCGAAGTGTCGAACGAGTGTATTTCGCCTTCTGGGGCCCGACACGTGAAAGAGCCTCAGTTCCGATACTGTCTTGGTGCTCGAAGTTCTTTTTGGTGATCTAGGCTCAAGTAGGGTGGAACATGATGACTCCAGGCCGGTGAGCGGCGCGCCCCGGAGGATCAGGAGGGGAAAACACAGACGCCATTCATCGTCGACTCCCAGGAAATTATCAGAAGACATGGGAAGTGGGGGGATAAAGACGAACACCCAGAAAATATGGGGAAAGAGGGGGAACCCTGGGATATGTGTCTATTTCTTTGTGTGTCCCATGGCCCCTTCAGATCCAGGCCTCTTACATTGGGTCGGAGTGGATGGGTTCGGAGGATCGCGCCGCATCGCCGATGCATCGCCGATGCGGCTCGATGTTGGGCCCGATTTGCTGCACGTCGACGTCGCCGATGCATCGCCCACGTCGACGATCTATCGCCGCTGCATCGCCGCTGCATCGCCGATGCACTGCCGGTGCATCGCCGCTGTATCGGCGATGCGGCGCGATCCTCCGACCGCATCTACAGTCGGGGCGCTGAAGAAGGAACCCTTTTCGCTGGGGAGGGGCTCGGTGTCCCTTGATTGTTTCAAAGTTTGCCCTGGGTTTTCCTGAGGTTTCCCATCGGAGATCGGGGTTGAACGTGTGGGAAGAAGGGGCCTCGTTCCTTACTTAGGGTTCCTCAGGTCAACGCCCCGACTGTACCCCGTCCCCATCTCGGAGGCCTCTATCAGAGGAGCTCCGACGCCACCTCTCGGCGGCCCGGGCGGAGGCCTCCGCCCAGCAGCCGGCGCTGCTGCAGCTGCCCGAGGCCACCTGCGCGGGCCGGCAGGGCGCCGTCGCCCAGTGCGAGCGGCGCCACGCCCGGCGGCAGAGGGCCGCGCTGGCGCAGCAGGCCCACGCGGAGAAGCGGGGCGCCAAGCGGCGCGCCACCGAGGATGGTGGGCCGACTGCCCACCACCGCGTCCATGGGTAGCACGGGGGAGGAGTGAGGATGGGGAGGTCCTCCTCCTCCTCCTCCTCCTCCTCCTCCTCCTCCTCCTCCTCCTCCTCCTCCTCCTCCTCCTCCTCCTCCTCCTCCCTCCTCCTCCCTCCTCCTCCTCCTCCTCCTCCTCCTCCTCCTCCTCCTCCTCCTCCCCCTCCCCCTCCTCCTCCTCCTCCTCCTCCTCCCCCTCCTCCCTTTCCTCCTCCCTCTCCTGCCCATGGTACAGTAGTGGTGGGACATCAGCCCATCAGAGGAGCTGCTGGAGCGCACGAGGGGCGGCCAGTTCGGAGACCTCGTGCGCTTCCACTCGGAGCGCGGGGGCAGCGCGGGCGGCCACGCGGGGCACGCCCGCAGCGGTTCTGCGCACCACGCGCAGAGCGGCCACCACAGCAGCAGCCATGCAGGCCGCGCGCACGCGCGCACCACCAGCAGGCGCGGTGGCGCCGCCGCCGCCGCGGGCGTCGATATCTCGGACGCATGGACGACGGCCGCGGAGACGCTGGCGACGCTGATAGACGTGGTGCCCACTGGCACGGACACCATGACTTTGGCAAGGGACGCTGTGGGCGCTGCGGCTGAGTGCCTGGCGTCCGTGTTCTCTACGTTCGCAGACGAGGGCGAGGAGCTCTTTGACGAGATCGCCTTCTATTGGACGCTCCTTTGGTCCCTCTACTTCGGGATTATGGCCCCGATGACGATGGTCATTCTCTTCTACGGCTTCTGGGCCGGGGGGTATTTCGGCGGCCCTCAGCCGTCAGTGGAGGAGGAGTATGTTCCGCCCAGGACCGTGCGCGACCGTGTCGGGGTCTGCGCAAGCACGTGCGGTCTGTGCTGTCAGAAATGCCACGACTCCAAAATGGCTTTCTGGTCGTTGATGATCGTGATGCAGCTGGTCATCCTGATCATCTTCCTGATCTCCATCATCCTGTGCATCCTCGCAGGCGTCAAGACATTCATCATCGAAGGTTGTACCGAGATATATGTACTCAACGACTCTGAAACATGCTTAGTCATTGTCACGCTCCTCAAAGACTTCCTGTCGACCTTCTACGTCTCAGACATAAACGAGAGTCTGGACGATATCTGCGACAACAACAAGTTGCTCACCTGCGACCTCATCGAGGAGAAGATGATCTACTCGACTATCTTTACCACGGTCTTCAGCTTCGCAGCGGTGATCTTGGGGCTGCAGCTGTGCATCGAGTCGGCATGCCTCCACGAGAAGGCCTGCACTCCTTGTGAGCTCCTCACGTTCCTCCTCGTCCTCATCTGCCTCATCCTCTTCAGCTGTCGTCTGCGCGCAGAAGGGGGCGAGACGATGGGGATGGTTATCCCAAGGATGCAGGGGGCTTCTTTGGCAGCCGTCCCGTGTTCTAGGAAGGCGTTCAGAAGCCTCGGAACCCGTCTGACTCAATACCCTTACTCTCTTCGACGGCCAGCCCCACTCATTTTTGCCCGCTGCCATTGCTGCCCCGCCTCCCTCGCGTGGAAGGTCCGCTTCCGGAGGGCGCTGGCGGAGGCCAAGATGGAGGCGGACTTCGAGGAGACGCGGCGGAATGCGGCGCTGACGAGCTGAGGGCGCACGCAGGATGGAGGACGATATGGAGGGATGGGGGTGAGAAGGAGGAAAAGGGAGGAGGAGGAGGAGGAGGAGGAGGAGGAGGAGGAGGAGGAGGAGGAGGAGGAAGAGGAGGAGGAGGAGGAGGAGGAGGAGGAGGAGGAGGAGGAGGAGGAGGAGGAAGAGGAGGCACCGACGCTGCGAGCCTCCTCTCCCGCGGCATGCCCAAGGGAAGGACCAGCAGGCGGGGCCAGAAGGGCGGAGCCCCCGCGCCCCCGCGCGCGCTCAGGCCGGTGCCGGGGCCGGGGCCTCCTCGGAGCGGCGGCGCAGCTCTGCCGCTGGGTGGCCCCCCAGTTCACCAGCCTCGAACTTATGCCTATCCCTACGATTGACACGCCAAAACAAGGGCTCCCAGGAGGGCGCGAAGTTATTCGCGCTTCGCGCTTCGCCGTCCTCCTTCCTCCTCCCCCTTCTCCTCGTCCTCCTCTTCTCCCCCTTGGGGGGCGGCGCGAGAGCGCGAAGTTATTCGCGCTTCGCGCTTCGCGCAGCGCGAAGCGCGAACTTAGGAGCCCTTGCAAAAGGCGATGGCAATCTTAGGGATCCGGGACGCGCCCTGAAAAGCGAGGGGAGTCCCCAAGATTGGCACTGTGATGAGGCGATGCCCAGCTCAGGGATAGGGAGATGTTCCAGGCTGGTAGCCAGCTGCCTCAACTCGCTCAGTTTTTTCTTTCGCTCGCGCGGCTTTTGAGGGGGGGAGGGCGCCAGCGGGGGCAGAGGGGCCCAGGCGTCGGGGGCCGGCCTCCCGAGGGCGGGCCTCCCAGTCTCGGGGCCTCCCCGGGGGGGCTCCCAGGGCGCCCTGGGCCCTCGTGGGGCCCCCCAGATCCTCGGTGGGTCTGCTGGGGCCTGCGCCCCCTGCTGACCGTGGGTGTGGGGGCCCTGGCTTGTCAGAAGCCCCCCCCCCCCCCCCCGCCCCCTCTCGTCTGGGAGGCGCGCCTCCCTCTCAGAAGGCCACGCCCCCCAGCCCTGGCCTCGCTCGACGCCGACACCCTGCCCTGAACGTCCAAGCCGCCCGCGATTCGCATGCTGCTCCAGTGAGGTGCCTCCCCCCCTCGCTCTCCGTCCCCTCCCCTCTCTTGCCGCCGACCCCCCTCCCCCGCCCCCTCTCCTGGCCTCGGATCCTCTCCCCTCCCCTCCTCCCTGCCCTCCCCTGCTCTCCCCTGCACCCTCCCGCCTCTGCCATCTGCCCTGCCCGACGCCCGCTCCGGCCCTCTCCCCGCCTGCCTGCCCTCCCCGCCCTCGCTCCTGCAGCTTCGCAGCGCGAGTGCTGCCGCCGTGCGTCGGATGCCGCTGGCCTGCTCGACTTCGCGCCGCGATCCGCACTCGCGCGCTGGAAAGCTGCCGGGGCCGGCGCCTCCAGAGGAGGGGGAAGCGAGGGGAGGAGACCGGGTGACCACAAGGAGCTCCCGATGCTCGCGGGATCGGGATTGCGCACGGACTTCGCTCGTTGCTGCCCGGGTCTGCCCCGTGCTCTGGCAGGATCCCGCAGATGCCGGCTGGCTCGGGCCTGGATTGGCTGGGGTCGGCAGTGCCCCGGGGAGTCTCCGCCCCGAGTTTTGGCCACGGTCGCAGGACCTGCTCTCTGCGACTGGCGACCGTGGTCTCTGGTGGGTGTCGTCGGCTGTTACAGTGGAGACCCACGCCAAGAAACACCCTGCTTGCCTCTAGGGTACCCTGGGTTTCCTGGGTTTCCTGGGTCTCGATGGTTTTGCTGTGGAAGGCCTGACGTTCCCACACCACAAATCCATGGACGACCTGGGGTCTCAGGGTTGGATTTCTTATGGAAGGTTTCTTGTGGTCGAGCCCCTATTGTGGGCCTCCTGGATTGAAGTCGGGCGTGTCCCTCTACAGGAGGAAAGTTCAAACATAGTCAAGACATGTCGTTTATATTGTTTCTTTGTAATGTTAAAAACATTTAAACATCTAAAAATGTTGTTTTGTTACTGTTATAATGAGCTTGTCTGGACTACGTTTAGATATGTATTGTTATTTCTTTGAAGTTTTCGCCCCGAATCCGCCTGTAGGAGGACTTTCCCGACCTAATCCTAGATGGGTTCGGAGGGTCGCGCCGCATCGCCGATGCATCGGCGATGCGGCTCGATGTGGAGCCCGATTTGTTTCACGTCGACGTCGCTGATGTGTCGCCGACGTCGCCAGTGCGTCGCCGATGCATCGCCGATGCATCGGCGATGCATTGGCGATGCGGCGCGATCCTATCTAGGACCCCTATCTAGGAGGCCTCTATATAGAAGCACGCTGGTCTGCCCCCTGCGGCTTGCTCGGGGGGCCTCCAGGTGACGCCAGGAGGTCTCGCATCAGCTCTGCGACGCCGTCCAAAGTTGCCTCCGGAGGAGAAGATTGGTCGAGAGCTCCAAGGGCCGGCGACTTGCAAAACGGAGTCGTCGGAGTTTTGGGACGGGAGGTGGGCAGGAGGAGGAAGAGGAGGAAGGCTTCAGCGGGGTCAAGGGGATCTAGAGGTTTCCGAGTGGGGCTCAAGGTTCCACACTGTCTGGAAAAGTCTGCGCTTGCGGCGGGTCTCTTCACACCCGCCTTCCAGCCTCGCAGGCTGCCGACCACTCCCGCCCCCTCACTCTTATCCGCAACTGCAGGGGTCACGCACGATTTGCATCGCGTGGTCTGTTGTTGACAGCTGCGGCCAGGTACAGAGGAGGAGCGAGGGAAGCAGGAGCGGGAGGAGCGCGAGGAAGCCGCAGCATGGCGAAGTAGGTTGTGCCGCGTTGTTGGCAGCCCCCCGAGGGTCGCAGGTTTTGACGCGACCAGTCTTTGGGTGCCTCCCTCCGCCATCGCAGAGGGGCCCTTACGCGGTCTCGAGCGCATTGCGTGCAGGTGGACTCCTCATGGGCGCACGTTTGAGCCACCTCCCGGGGGCCTTTTTCGAGCGTCTCGGATGCGTCCTCATGCTTCAGAATTTTGTTGGGCCATCTTGGGGCCTTCTTGAGGGGTTCCTGGGCCACCTCGTGGACGTCTGCACCTTCGCGGGAGCCTCCTGGAGGCCTCTCGGATTGTCTTGTTTCTAGAAATCGTGTCGGCGGATTCGTCTTTGGGGCGCCCCTCTGGGATGCCAGAATGAGTCCCGATCATTGTGTCGAAATAGGCGCTGGCTTTACACATTCACATCCACATCGTTGCTGATTGCATGTGGGAAGCGTTCGACCAGTCTCTCCCAACGCCCTGCGGGATGATCTCCCCCCCCCGCGGACATATCGTCGGTTTTGGAGGAGAGATGGGGCCTTGACTCACAGACACCCGCCGAAGTTCGGGCAGCGGGAGGTGCGACCCCTCCCCCAGGGATTGCAAGTACCGCCAAGACGCTGAAGTAAGGACCAGCTTGGCCGCAGGAGGGGCTCAGATTTCCGAGCCGCTCCTCCGATCTAGGTTTGGGAACGTATTCGTGGCCGAGCTTCGCCGCGGCCAGGAAAATCTCTATCGTGTCTTATTTGGCGCTCCTTGTGGTAGCACTGCGGCTGCACTGCAGAGAGGAGCTTGCGCCACACGCCGGGACCACCTGCTACCCAGCGGCCGGGTGAGATTGGCCTCCTCATCCCCTATCCTCTTCCTCATCCCCTCTATCCCCTCCTCCTCCTCATCCTCCTCCTTCTCATCCTCCTCATCCTCATCCTAATCCTCATCCTCATCCTTATTCTCATCCTCATCCTCATCCTCATCCTCATCCTCATCCTCATCCTCATCCTCATCCTCATCCTCATCCTCATCCTCATCCTCATCCTCATCCTCATCCTCATCCTCATCCTCATCCTCATCCTCATCCTCATCTCATCCTCATCCTCATCCTCGTCCTCCTCCTCCTCCTCCTCCTCCTCCTCCAACTCATCCCATGGATGGCTTCCTGGGTTCAGAGTCGTCATATGCTACTGGTGTATGGCGTTAGATCGAAACAGTGAGGGATGTCCTAGGCTCGCCGTTGTCACAGTTGCTGCTGGACCATGGCGTCAGATCGCAACATCCTGGGGATGGCTTCCCTTGTTCAACGTCGCCGTTTTATGGATCCGTGCTGCCCAGGACCTTTGAAGTGGTCGAGAGCACTTGGACTGATGTGGATACGGCTCGACAGCGTGGTGCGAGTGATTGGGGTAATTAGTCGACAGCCCCAGTTGTGGTCCTGTGGGCTACTCGTTCGACCTGTGCTCCCTGGGCGCACGGCGGGAAGGGACACGGTGAGCGAGGCTGCCCCGCCCAGGCTTCGACGGTGCGGCGCGACCGTGCCGCGCCGTCGCCGCGGCTTCTCCCGCTCGTCCTCGAAGACCTCCCCCCGTCGATCCGAACCTGTGCGGTCTACTTTTACAGAGCTCGTCGAGATTGCGATTCGCGGGCCTCCCTACAGATCGGCTCTCTTTTCGCCCCGTCCTCGGGGGCCCCCCCTGTGGAAGGGCCCATGCTGGCCCGCCCTTGGTCTGCAATTCAGCGTCGCTGCATCTGCAGTCTTGGCTGAGCGAGGGCAACTCGAGGCTCCCGCCATGGGCACCAAGTGGCAGTACGTGCACCGCGCACGGTAGGTCGCACATTACGAAGTCTGGTCCGTTGTGTTGTTCGTCGGAGATGTGTGCGATCCAGCCCGTTACCGCTCCGCCTCGTCCTCTTCCTCCTCCTCCTTCTCCTCCTCCTCCTTCTACTTCTCCTCGTTATCCTCCTCATTTTACCCCTCCTCCCCGTCCTCCCCACTCCTCCTCCTCCTCCTCCTCCTTCTCCTCTACCTCCTTCTCCTCTTCCTCAACTTTCTCCTTCTCCTCTGCTCCTCCTTCTCCTCCCCCTTCCCCCTCCTCCCCCTCCTGCTGCTCGTCCTCCTCCTCCTCCTTCTCCTCCTTCTTCTCCTCCTCGTCCTCCTCCTCCTCCTCCTCCTCCACCTCTTCCTGCTCCTCGTCCTCGTCCTCGATCTCCTCCTCTTCCTCCTCTTCCTCTTCCTTCCGTCGCAATTTCGTCTCAAGGCCAAGATGGTGTCCATTTCAATGCCTCCACGGGGTAGG